CATGAACAGTTAAATACTAGGAAGGAGACAGTGAAATGAAACGTGTATAGTTCATAAGAACGACTAAAGCCATACTGTTTGGTGGAAAATTCGTGTTATCCTTTATATGGGGGCCACCTAGAAGGAAAAATATAAATCTGTCAAGATACGATTCTAATGCATACTTCACTAGTCCTTATCTACAATATTAAACAAGGCCTGGTTAAGTGATATCAAGGCAGAAACAGAGTAAGAATGAAAGAATATTGAGTAATGGAAGAGCGTAGAAACAGGTATTTGTCGTATAAAATGAATAAGTACAGATGTTAAGAAGTTTATAAAAACTTACATCTCCTCCAATGCAACTTGGTTTGAGAAGATGCAAGTGTTGTTATTCAAGGACCTATGGTAAATATCAGAAGCAGATAGGCCTGTGATATTAGAGAGAAAAAAAATTGAAAATTGGGCTTCAATTGTGCACGACTCATTGAAATTAGATACCTGTGCTACTTCATTGAAGACAAAAAAGTAGTTATATGGAGAGGAAGAGCTATTGGTGCAAGCAGAGGCATCAACATAGAGTAATGAATTCATCTGTATATTGCAATTTAAAATATATGCAAGATAGTAAGAAAGATGCATTCTCTAACAAGCCCTTCAAGAAGAAAGGAACTGCGAGGAATGGAGCACATATCCCTCTGAAGACTGGCATCGACCAGTTGAACAATAGAGTTTGTGATGTTCTCAACAAAGAATTTCCCCTGTTTTGTGACCAAAGTTGTACAATTATTCTTGCATACCAATTCAGACGCTGGCAGACCACACTCAACAGGATCGGGATTTAATAAAAAAAGGGTATGTAATACTAAGGTTTCCACAAGAAGAAAAAGGGAGGCAAGGCTTGTATTTGGCTCTAGCCATACAAGCATCAGGAAAGAGAGAGAAAGCGAGGAGCATGAGGTTGAAAACTACTTGAAGCTTTGCTCTTAACATCCTAAAGCTTGAGTAGAAGAGAAAACAAATGATAACAAAACAATTCTTTACACAGATAGCAATTAGCACTCCAATTCAAAGCGGGTAATTCTCAGAGGCAATAAAGCAAACCACTTCAATGCATTCCTCCTCAAATGTTGAGATGACCACATAAAGAAAGCATTCAAGTTGTTGAAAAACGACTTTTGCATCCC